CAGGCCTCCAAGCTCCCGGCATGCAGGGCTCCTTCCTCAGCCAGCTCCCACCTGTGCTGAGCCAGCAACCTCCCTCAACTGGGCCTTCCTCTGGCCCCACTTAACCCCAGCCAGACTCTCTAAATGCCTCCACCAGTTTCCTGCTGCCCCCTGGAATTGGTTCCACAGGCTGGAGTGACCTGCCCCTGGTTCCCCTCAGACATCACCTCCTACCCGCCCCACACCACCTCCTTCCTGGGTCTCTGCCCCACCTGCTCACGCCCTTCCAGCACCCTGACAGGTCTGCCCGTGGCTGCCTCAAGGGCCTTTGCACTGCCATTCTCGTCCTTTTTCTGTGGCTCCCCTCCCTCCATACTTCCTTAGCACTAAGCTGAAGTCCCACCTCTCCAGGGAAGCCTTCATATGCTTGTCCCTGCACCCCGGTTACATGCTATTCAGTCTGGAGCCAAGTTTGCCAACAGGGCCTTTGAGATGGGTAAGTCACTACAGTGAGTATAAAAACACACCACGATTCAAAGACTTGACATGAAGGCAAGAAGGCAAAACCTTCATGTGATCCTTTCATTGATCACATGTTGCAATGGCCACATTTGTGTGGGTTAAATAAACATACAATTAGGGCCTCCCTGGTAGCGCAGCAGGTTAAAGCGCAGCAGGTTAAAGCGCAACACTGCGAACAAGCCTCAGCTGCTTCAGTACAAGTTCAATCCCACCCCAGAGGTGACCCCCATGGCGCGGCAGGCCTGTCCTGACCGCCCACTGCTCCCCTCAGCAGTGCACTTCCTCGATCTGCCTGTTCTGCTCCCCACTCTGTCTCTGGTGAATCCTCTCACCTCCCTGCACCTCTGGCCTGTAACCCAGTTCTGTATGCATAAATCTTTTTCTAGAATACAATTAAATTTGATTTCTTTTTTTGCAATGGGGCTAATTAGAAAATTTAAGTCTCAAGCCCCACATGGCTCAGCCTGGCATCCGCTGGATAGCCCCTCACTAGCCCGCTCTGTCTCCTGTCACTTTTGCCATCAATGAGGCAGTCCTGCCTCCCCAGAGAGGGGCCTCGTCTGCGTCGTTCACTGCTCTTTGCCCCGCACCTGGCACCAGCAGGTACTCACTTGATGGCTCGAGGACTGGGTGGTCCAATCCAAAACCCGCCTGCTGCACCTCCAAGGAAAGGCCCCCAGGCCTTCCAGAATGGGCAGAGAAGCAGCATTGCGAAAAGCAAGAGAAGCCAGGACATAGCGGCGGCTCCCCACCCCTGCAGAGACAGGGGCTGCTGCCCACGGTGGGCCAGGCAGGGGGTGCCCGCAGGGACAGCAGGAAGGGGCAGCTGGGAGCAACCCCTTCTTCCAGCAGGCAAGCAACAGGCTACCCGGCCCCAGCCACGCACTGGCCACCACCTACTTGGGTCAGGATCACGTAGGCGCTGGGGATGAGCACCAGGATGCAGCCCAGGGCAACCAGCAGGTACTGGACGTAGTTCAGCGCTCTGGGCAACAGCACCAGTTGGTTGTAGAATGTCTTAAGGGGACTGCCCTCCATGGCCCCGCTCTGGGGAGGCAGAATGACAAACACATGGTATGTGCCACCCACTTCAGGCCCTGGCCCCAAATCACACCCAACCATGTCCCTCCATTTCCCTCCTCACCCCTTTCCCAGTGAAAGCCCATTGGCCAAAGCCTGTACGGAGCCTCCACTTCCTAGGGGCACCCCCGTACAAGGAGACTACATTTCCCAGGTTCCCCTACAACTGAGTGAGTGATCACATTCTAGCCAATGGGATGTGGGCACAGTGACCCACAGCTCCCAGGTCAGGCCTTTAAGCACCTGGCAGGTGCTTCCCACCCCCCCACCTCACCCCCATCCCCGACTCCCCACCCACTGAACAGAATTGATGCTGAGGACTTCCAGGAGGTTAGGGGTCCCAGAAGGAAGGAGGCTGGTCATCCCACCCCCAACCCACATGGCCAGCATTGTGAACAGGAGGTGACAGCTGCAATCAAAGCAGGCTGTGTTCACCCTGATTTCAATGAGAAAGGCCAGAAGAAGAGAAAATGCTGCTGAAAAGGGGCTTCCCCAAAGCCACTTCCCGTTGGCCTCGAGACAATCAGGCACACAAGGTGTTTTCGCTAGCTCTCCCCCTAGCGGTACTCTCAGCTTCTGGGGTCACTGACACAGTGCTCAGGTGGGGTGAGGTTTCCGAAATGTGGTCCAACGTCTCACAGCCCGGTAACCCACCCCTGCTTCACCCGCCACACACACAGACCTCTGTTCCAAATGGCTCCTCACTGGGGTGCCCCACATGGCACCCCAGGGTGCCCAGTGCACAGGGAGGGGCCGCCTCACCTCTCCAAACCATAGCAGCGGCAGGACCACCGGGTTGATCTTCCCTGTTTGTCTGGAAATAAGTGAAACAAAGCATGTGAGGAGTTTTGTCTAGGGTGGTTCCCACCGACCTCACTGGACATGCGATGTGAGCACAGGAACTATGTAACAACTGCATGGTTCCTGCTTAAGAAATGGGTACCTCCTCGCAGCAAGCAACCTGATGTTCTGATATTATCTGTTTAAGTTAAAGACTCGCTTCCACGAGCAGGGGTTGCTAGCGACCTACGTGATACCCATCCGTTCCTCTCGGAAACAGCCCCAATTTTATTCCAGATGGCAACACACCCAGCAAAAAGACCATAATCTTGGCCTCCTTTTCGGTGAGTAAGTCTATGCAGCCAAGTTCTGATGAATGAAATGTTAGCAGAAATATTACATGGGAGCATCAGGGAGGCTTAAAATGGAGCCGACACCACTGAGAGATGGGCTTTTTCCCCTTCTTCCTTCTTTCTTTCAGATGGCAAGAATGCAGGAGCAATGGCTGGAGCCACAGCAATCATCTGTACAGACCAGGACACAGAGAACCACTGGGTCGGGGTGGCAGCCTCCAGTGGCCAATGGGCAGCACCCAGGGCCAGGTATGGGCTGGCACTTTCCATAATGTGAACTCAGCACCATCAGGTGAAAATGGGGAGCACTGACTGTAAAACCCAGCGTGTAACAAAGACCCTTGAGAATGCATCGGACAGGGCCTTGTCCCGTCACCACAGGCCCTGGCGGGCGGACCGGGTGCCCTTGGATGCACACTAAGTGTGAGCCCAAGCAGCAGAGGCCTGGTCCCTCTGCTGTGAGCAAACCCTCTGAACAGCCTCTGATGTAAAAAAATAAACAGCCAGGGTGGGGATCCAGAGACAGGATCACCGATTCACCCTGCCTCTGTCTCCAGACAAAGCGTTATTCTCTCCAGCTAAGGGCGGTTTGCAAAGCTGAACAGATGCTCACATTCCCACAACCCAGAAATCTTTCTAAGGGGATTTTTTTCAATGAAGCAATTTAAAATATACTAAGAAGGGCAAACAATGAAAGAACCTCATGTCCATGTGACCCTCACCCAGCTCCAGCAAAACACACATCACAGCAAGTATTAGCGAGGCTGGGGAGAGGCGGCCCCCCCCTCCACGCTGCTGGGGGACTGGGGACCCACAGCTCGGATCCCAAGTACAGTCACATATCCACACTTGGTCTCTCCTGAGAGCCAAGGTCCAGAAACCCCCAGTGGCCATCGACCAATAAATTTGACTCGACACTCCACACTGGGCTAGGTTCAATCATAAAAAAGGGTGGAGCCCTGGCACCAGCCATCCTGTGGAGGAACCTCAAAAACATGACCCCAGATGAGAGAAGCCAGATACCCAAGGCCAAGGCACCACAATCACTCAGACGGAAAGGGCCCGGGCAGGGGAGGTGCTGAGGGGTGACAGAAATATCCAAACGCTATTTTAGTGATGGGTGCACATTTCTGAGCATGTAAATGACTGAGTTGTAACATTTAAAAGGTGGGTTTGCAAATGCCCAAAAGTAGATGACTGGATTAAAAAGATGTGGTGCATATACACTATGGAGTATTACTTAGCAATTCATGGATGGAGCTGGAAGTGATCATGCTGAGTGAGATAAGCCAGAAAGAAAAGGAAAAATACCGATGGTTTCACTCATAACAGGAGCATTAAGGACCAGGGGAGAAAATAATAATAGTAATAATGAACAACTATATACCAGAAAACATTTTATGGGGGTGGAGTGGGGAATGGGATCAAAAGGGGGCGGGAGGAAGTGCACTGGACTATGGTGATGGCACATGGGTGACATGGTGATGGGAAGCCCACAGGGATTACAACTGAGATGGAAAAAGGCACAAAATGATGTAAAAACAAACTATTCTGTTATTTTTTTTTTAAGTGGGTTTGGGGCCCTCCCTGGTGGTGCAGCAGGTAAGGACGCAGCACTGCAAGCGAGCCACAGCCACTTCAGTGCGTGTTCAATCCCCAGACATGGAGGTGACCCACATGGCGCGGCAGACCTCTCCTGACCCGCCTGCGCTCCCCTCAGCAGTGTACTTCATCAGTCGGCCTGTTCTGCTTCCCACTCTGTCTCTGGTGAATCCTCTCACCACCCCTGCACCACTGGGATGTACCCCAGTTCTATAAGCATAAATAAATAGATCTTTAAAATAAAATAAATAAATAAAAGGTGGGTTTGGGGACCTCCCTAGTGGCACAAGGGGTTATGAAGTGGCACAGCATTATGAAGCTATCTGCAGCCACTGTAGCACAATTTCGATCCCCACATGGCTCAGCAGACCTCTTCTGTCTCCCCACTGCTCCCCTCTGCAGTGTTTCAGTAAATGCACCTGTTCTGCTTCCCACTTTCTCTGGTGAAGCCTTTTACCTCCCACACCTCTGGCCTGTAATCTAGTCCTTATATGCATAAATAAATTTTTTAAAAAAGGTGGGGCTTACCAGAAAGTCTCTTCAATAAATGGTGCTGGCAAAACTGGACCGCTATATGCAAAAGAATGAAACTAGACTACCTCACACCATGCACAAAAACTGACTCAATATGAATAAAAGACCTGAAGGTTAAGACCGGAAACCTTAAAACACACAGATGGAACACTGGCAAAACACTCCATGACAAACACAGTTGAAGACTGGCTCCCTCACCCCAAGCAAAGAAAATGAAGGAAAAGATAAGCAGCTGGGACATCAAACTGATAAGGGCCTGATATGACAACTGATAAGGAGCTGATAGCAAAGATCTAGAAAGAGCGCACACAACTCAACAAAACAGAAGAAAACCATAGAGTCAAAAAATGAGCAGAAGGACCTGTCTCCAAAGAGGAAATGCAGATGGCCCCCAGGCACTTGAAAAACTGCTCACTATCACTTATAATCAGGGAAATGCAAATCAGAACCACAAGGAGATTCCACCTCACACTAGTGAGAATGGTCTGCATTAAAAAATGGCAATAGGCCCTCTCTGGTGGCACAACAGGTTAGGACGCAGCACTGCAAGCTGGCTGTAGCTGCTTCAGCTGAGTTTGATCCCCAGAAACGGAGGTGATCCACATGGCATGGCAGACCTTTCCTATCTCGCCTGCTGCTCCCCTCAACAGTATACTTCCTCGATCTGCCAGTTCTGCTCCCCACGCTGTCTCTGGTGAATCCTTTTGCCACCCCTGCACCTCTGGCTTATACTCCAGTTCTGCACGCATAAATAAATCTTTAAAATTAAAAATAAAAAACCGGCAACAACAAATGCTGGCGAGGATATGGCGTAACAGGAGCCTCTTACACTGCTGGTGCGAATGCAAACAGGTTCTGTGTGTGGAGGACCCTCAAACTACTAAATTTGGATCTACCATATGACCCAGAGATTCCACTCCTGGGGATCTACTCAAAGGACACAAAAATGTTAATTCAAAAGTACAGCTGCACCCTTATGCTGAATGCAGTACTATTTACAAGAGCCAAGATATGGAAACAACACAAATGCCCCAAAATAGATGAGTGGATCAAGAAGATGTGTTCTAGATACATGGTGGAATATTACACAGCCATCAAAAAGAGAAACTCATGCCATGATGAACCCAACCCATGGATGGAGCTAGAAGGGACAATGTTCCGTGAAATAAGTCATAAAAAGAAAAATATCAGTTAGTTTCACTCAGAGGAGGAATATAGGGAAACTGAACAAAGGGTCCAAAAAAAGACAAAACTAGCAGACAGATTACAGATCTGAGGCTTACAGTGGGGGAGGGGGAGGGAAGGGAGGGGTCATAAAAGGGACAGGAAGAGCACAAGGGACTATGGTGACAGTTCACGGATGATGAAGAGGTGGGAGCTTTATGGGGACTTACTTGATTTATCACACCAGAGTGAACAACAGTGTAAGAAAATACAAATTAGGGCCCTCCCTGGTGGCGCAGCGGGTTAAAGCACTGCACTGAGAAGCTAAAGCTACTTTAGCATGAGTTCAATTCCCGCCTGCCCCGGAGGTGATCCACATGGCGCAGCAGACCTCTCCTGACCCGCCCGCTGCTCCCCTCAGCAGTGTACTTCGTCGATCTGCCTGTTCTGCTCCCCACTCTGTCTCTGGTGAATCCTCTCACCCTCTGCATCTCTGGCCTATAGCCCAGCTCTATATGAATGAATAAATAAATCTTAAAAAAAAAAAAAAGAAAATACAAATTAAATAAAAATAATAATGAAAGGATGGGTTTTATAGCATACAAGCTATATTTCAATAAAGCTGTATTTAAAAAATCAAAAGAAAGAAAAAATAAATAAAAAAGAAAAAAGGTTTCAAAAACTCCTCCCGTAAAGTCACAGAGAAGATGGTTGTCCGAAGTTTCCCTTTCCTGCCAGGGTTTCGCTTCTGCTGCTCTGAGCCTGGGGCACGGTTTGGGTGGCAGATTCTGGTTGACTCCGGGGACAAACATCAAGAGAGAATGACAGGATTCTGGAGCACGGATTTCTGGGGCCCGAGGGGACCCGCTAAGCCAGGGACTCCGCCCCCACCAGCTCTGCTCCTGGGGCCACTGCCCCCAGCCCAGCCCCTGTCCACTCACCCGATGCCTTTCACAGCCTTCATATACAGGTTCAACTGCAGCTTCACAGAGCAGTTCATGGGGATTCCTGTGACCTGCAGCAACATACATGGTGGGAGGCTGGCTTGGGGTCCAGGACACAAATAACACCCCTCCTGGCTGTGCAGGGCAGGGCAGGCGCCCCACCCCACAGCCCATGCCCTGGGGCTGCTCCACTGAGTCTAGAACAAACACAGACTCCCAAAGAGCTGGTGTCCAAGCCTCCAGGGTCCCTCCAGGGATGGAGGGAGGGACCCTGTCCCTTCATGATGGGCTCCCCAAAGTGCTGACTGACATTTTCAGCCCTCGCCCCACCCTCCACCCTCCAGTCCACGTAGAGGAAGTGCAGAAAGCCTTGTGCTCCTGACTTCTGTCCTGATGAAGGCCAGGGCTGGGGCCTTCACAGATTCCAGCCCCAGGCGCCCCACCAGGCCCACACACCCCACTGGAAGGCAGAGTCTGACAGACCCCACTGGCATTTGTTTCCTTGTGTTTATTTTTAGGCCCAGCCTGCTTCTCTGGAGAAAGTTCGAGGCAGAGATGGAAAGCTTCCCTTGTATAAAAAATCCTGTTGTTTTGTTTTGCTTTGAACAAGACCATTCTTTAAAATCCTAAGTAGAAGACAGAAGTGACAGCTTAGTACCAAAGTTGGGGGAGGGGTCCCGGCCCACTTGACTAGCCCAGGAGACACCCTAGTAAAGAACCCCATACACGTGCCGTCACGGGGCACAGAGGGGACCCCAGGCGGGGCCCACGCTCGTCCCAGCTTCCCCCAGACGTTGCTTCAGACCTTCTCTTTGCCACTTTGCACGGTGTCCTTGTGCACGACAAAGCTCAGCCATGAGTCTGATTCTGCCAGAGGCAAAGCATCAGACTTGGGGAGAGGTCTTGGGAACCCGATATGACCGGCCACCCTCTTCCACGCTCTAGAACAGACTCTACACTCTGGGGTCTCCACTTGGGGCCACTTTCTTCCCCAGAAGATTCATCCCTTCCAAGCACTGTCAGCCCAACTAGAAGCAAGCAAACCTTCCTGTCCCCAGAAGCTTCACCCACAGGTCTCCAGCTTCCCCACTTCAGCAGAAGCCGAATAGCCGCCATGGGAGACATCCCTAGCAGGTGAATGAAATCCTCACAGGCACCAGAGTGACTCCAGGATCACCCCGCCCAGTGGCCTGGACACGAGACGCAGCTGCTGCAAACAGCTGGCAGCACCTCTGCCCCCACCTCCGTACCAAGAGCCTGCATCTCCCATGGGCAAAGGAAACCCACACCCCAGCATGGAAGTCGCGTGAGAACACCTCCTGTTCCTGGGATGCTCAAGCCAGCAGAGAAAGGCAATGAAAGAGACAGAGAACGCGGGAAGCTGGGCCAGAGGGCAGAGACAGAGCCGAGGCTGTCCAAGACAGAGCAAGAGGTTGTGGGTGAGCCCCTGGCAGGCCGGCTTCGAGAAAGCCCTGGGGAAACAGGCTTCAGAGCTCTGGATCAGTGGCTGCAGCGGCCATGACCATGGCCACAGGGGTCCAAGCGGCAGTGGACAGAGACATTGAGCCACTGAAAAGCCGCCCTGCGGGCTGAAGGCCCAGCCCCTGCTGTGGGGGACCTCCATCAGAACAAACTCCCCAGAACCCGACTTATCCACAAGACGTTCCAGGCGCTGCTCAGAACCCAGAGATTAATGCATCTCAGCAGTCAGAGGGCAGCCCCTGGCTAATTTGCAAGCTGATAATCCCTAATTAACTTAACTGTCTTAGGAGACGTTTATGGAGATAATTCCCTTATGAGGAGATAATAAGGTCCCTGAACTATGGAGTCAGGGTAAAGAAGAGGCCTCCGTGACTCACGTTCCAGAAGCCACCAAGGCGTCTCATGACCCCGCACCCTGAGCCGCACGCAGGCAAGCTGACGGCCAGGGGCCAAATGTCTAGAAGCCCACCACCCCTGCAGGCTCCGGGGGCTCACCGGGTGGATGTCCAGGAACAGGGAGTGCTCCTCCTCGTTGGGGTGGAGGCCCTTCACCGCCTCTGCCAGCTCCGGGTCAGCGTTGTAGAAATGAGGTTGGGAGAGGAACAAGGGCGCATCTGAAAGGCAGGGTGGAAAGGCACATCAGGCCCTGAGTCAGGCCCTGGGCATGGCCGGGGCACAGCCACACCTAAGCAGGACCACCGGGACAGCAACCAGATGCAGACAGCAACCCTGACAGCGAGAGCCCTCCTCTCCGTCTGCAAAGTTACCGAGCGCCCAGGGGCACCAGGCCCTGGACAGAGCGACGGACAAGCTCAGTGCCCGGGGAGCCATGGCAGGAGCTGCCGGTCCTGGGGGAGATCACAGGAAGGCAAGCAAGAGGGTAAAGACGCCAGCAGGCAGGGCACGGCACTCAGGCGGAAGGGCTGGCAGAAGCCAAGGCTGGGAGGTGGGGGTGCGCAGTGATGAGGGACAGTCAGTGCGTGGAAGGGGCTTGTGGGATTTGAGGACGAAAAGGGAAGCTGAGGCCAGAAGGGGCTCGGGTGGGGGAAGACCATCTTGCTCGCCGAGCCAAGCAGTCCCAACTGTCCTCTGTAGGTGACGCAGCAACTGTCGGCGATGCCCAGCTCTGCCCGCTTGAGCCGGCCCCAAGGCCCCGGTAGGGACACACCTGCTTCACTCCTTCTCTCCCAGCAGCTGGTCTGTGGGGCAGGCACCGGCAGGCATGAATGGGGACAGACCCCAGCCCCTCAGAGCAACCAATTCCCCTCCAGAAATGTGAGGCCAAGCCTCTCCATCAACCAACTGGCCAAGGTCAGTGCATCCACCAGCTCAGGGCCAGGGCCGGGTCTCAGGGGCAGAGAGGTAAGGAGGGAAGAATGTGCTCCCAGAGCCCCGGGGCCAGTCAGAACAGGCCACAGAGAAGGAAACTGCTGGTGCGAGGCAGGGGCAGGGAGTGACCACTCTCGGGCACAGGTCCTTCTTTGGGGGTGGGGGCAAGAATGTTCCAGAACCAGTTAGAGAATTCAGTAGAGACGATACACTGCAAACTTTGAGAGGCTTGCTTTTATGTCACCTGGCCCTCAGGTGCCTGGCTTCGTTCTGCTCTGCATGGCCAAGCCCGGCACTATCTGCAGTAGAAGCTGGGCCTCTGGCCACACCCCGACTTCGCTTCTCCCGAGTCCTCTCACGCACGGCACTGTCATGCTTCTCAATGTGTCTCTCGTCCTGCTGCCTTTCACCGGCTCACCCTGTGCCTCCCCAGTCCTGCCACATCCCAGGAGCCCCCCACAGCTCAGCCAAGCACCTCTCCAAGCCACCTGCCCGCTCGGCAAAAGCACCTTAACTTTAAAAGACCTGTACCCCAGTGCTTGTATGCATACATAAATAAATCTTAAAAAAGAAAATTTAATAATAATAAAAAAGAAAGAAAGTAAAAGCCAGTGCCATGTCAGCACGTAGCTCAGACACACCTGGCACATGAGAAAGTAAATACCGGAATTAACACAGCAGAAACCAAGGGGTCAGATGTCCGAACCATACTGTGTGTGCCCAAGTTGTGACCTGAGACCTGCTCTTTCTGTTAGAGTGAAGCTGGTGAGGGTTACCAAGGAACAGGAGTCCTCTTAGCACCAACAGAGATGTCCTCCTGGAGGCCAGGGCTCCGCCGGCAGGCAACAAGGCCACCTGGGACCTGGGACACCCCGAGGTCAGTCTGCAATTCAGAAATCCATGTTCCCCTACCCCCACCTCACCCCTCTCAACTGCAAAAGAGCAGCAAGCAAACAGAGTCCCCCGTTTTTATGGGTGGTAGAACTTCAGGGCGCTGGGTGAGGGAGGTGGTCACCAAGCCAGGCCCTGGAAGGTAGTGAACCCCAAACAAGCCCAGTCATGCTTCCAAGGCCAGAGGTCTACTTGTCCACACCTGCCTTTGCTGTAGAGGTAAAGACACGTGAGTATTTAACTGTATGCATGTGTTTCTTTCTGTTTTGAATTTTTTTTCCCCCAGAGTGAGAGAGAACTGCCCAGGTAATAAGTGATAATTAATTTACAGCTTTATGACACATCTAGCCTGATCTAATTGCCCAGGATCACCAGGAATTATGATTACAGGACTTTATTGGGCAAGTCTGAGGTTCTAGAGCATGGAGCCATAATAAGAAGAGTCCAAGAAATTTTTAAAGCAGGAAGGGAAATACAAGGGTATTTTCTTATCATCAGATAAAATGCCACAAAAATGCAGACACTAGTACACCAAAGACACATGTAAGCACATTCCTAGAAGCACATGGGTGCTGGTGAGAAAACAAAACTCAGCTAATGGTGAAGGAGCCAGAAAGGAGAGATATGGGGGCATGTGGCAGAATACTATACAGCAATGAAGAAGCCTACTATATTAACAGGAATGGAGATGTCACCAACAGGATAGTAGAAGGAAGACATCAGAAAAACAGGGGGAAGAGAGTATATTCTTTATTTAAAGACCGAAAGCCAGCTGGTTGTGTTGTTGGAAACCAGGCTAGTGACGAGGAGACTGTGCTCTTGTTTCTTGATCAGACATGGTGCTAGAAACATGGATGTTTGCTTTGTGGTATTTCAAACTGCACACATCACTTGGGCACCTCTCTATGGCTGACCCTTGAATGACAATGGGCTGGACCCATCAGACCCAAGCGCAACTCACTCTGATGTTCAAACAGCCAACTAGAGCCTGGGCTGGCCTCTGAGTCAGACTAGGACCTCCAGCCCCTACATTGTTCAAGGGTCAAGAGACTATATGTTTGCCTCAACACAAAAGAAAAGGCTTTATGTAAATAGTTTAGAATACTCTCACATGCCTGAAGTTCTCGGGGCAGGCTGCTCCATGAGACAGGCAGTGCCAGCCTCACCCCAGCGCTGTGTAATGGACAGACACGGATCTACCTGTGGTCACCAGCTCTTTCTTCTGTAACCAACACCCCTAATAGCCCCACTCTGCTCATGGCCTCCTGCAGGAGCCCAGCCAGGTGAGCCAGGCAGAGTGAATCCTGGGACTTCCAGGAGTGACTCTGACCACCTGGCCCCTTTCTGGCCCTCCCCAGCATGAGTCGGGGGGAGGGAGGGGGCCTGCAGTAGCTAGGCCAGCCTGGAGGGAATCAGATCCCTGGTGCCAGGATCTGCTCTGAAACTGCTATAGCACCTACCACTGGCCACTGCCCACCAAGCACTGAGGGAGAGCCGGACCCCTCCCTACCAGCAGAAATGCCCACCAACACCAGCAAAGACAGACCCACACAGGCCAAGACAGGGGGGCCAGTCTGCACCTTTCCCCGATATAGGCCCCCCTGCCCAAGCTGCCTGACCTGGGGAGACCATCCAGCCTGCTGGCAGTCGCTCCCCAGCCCCACCACAAATGACCCTCCCAGATCCCCATCTCCTGCTGAAAGTGGGGCTTGAAGAGACTCCTAAGACGCAACACCTCTTCAGACCAGGGGGGCTTCTTGACCCCAACCCTGTGGCCTATCGCACCCCAACCTGTGCCTCAGTCTCCCACACGCAAGACACATCCTCCTGCATATACAGATGAAAACGTATGGGGGCCTCCACCTGCTGGGCACAGGCCCACTTGGGCAGCGGCCATGGTGGAGGAGAGACCACCAAGCACGGTCGGTGACTTCAGGGCAACAAGCACCAAGAAGACAAAGAGGTGGGGGCGGTGGCTGTGGCTGGGGATTCAGAACAGGACCCCAGGAGGAGGTGGACTTAAATAAACCAAAAGCGGGCGAGGTAAGGAGCCACGTGGGAGTCTGAAGAAAGAGTTCTGCAAGCAGGCAGAAGCCAACGCAAAGACCCTAAAGGGGGACCAAGCTGGAAACACCGCAGCAATGGAGAAGGCAGTGGGCTGGAGAACAGTCAGCCGCGAACATGAAAGGACACGAGGCCCGGCCAGACCCGCAGAGCAGCGGGGCCACCGCAGGGGCCTGCTCACTCTCACAGTGGGCGAGCCGCGGGCAACTTGGGCAAAAGGGGGGCCAACCAACGGCCCCAAAGGCCACCGGGCTGCGACGGGCACGTGCTGCTGCCAGACCACCAGTGCCATGGAGTGCCCCACATGATAGCCACGAGGCTCGTGACCGCTGACCGGTGGGACCTGGCCCACTCCACCAAGGAAGTGCCTTTCCGTTTGGTCCCCGACAAGCCAATTTCCATTCAGATGGAATGGTCACTCCCCAAAGCTGGAGGTGGCCACACTGGACAGTCTGGGGGATGGAGGGCAGGGGGCAGCACAAGGTCAACTGGAGGGGCCACACCGATACCAGGGACAGGGGACTAGACACCAAAGTCAGGGGCATGAGAAACTCGGGCTTCAATGCGGAGGTAGGACCGACCAAGCTGAACGAGGAGGGGTTCGGCCAACATCGGGCGCTCACATGGGGCCAGGGGCCAGGAGTTGGCGCACAGCTAAGCAAGGCCCAGTAGAGGACGCCATGCAGCCCTGCGCTCACATCCAGCCCCCAAACTGCACCCCAGTACAGGCCGCTGCTTGCCCCTCTCCCTCATAAGTGGGGTGAGGGCCCTTCCCATCGTCCAGGCCCTCACACAGCGTGGCGAGGGGAAGAACGGGGACCCCCAAAGAAGTGCAAATGAAGACTCAGAACCTGGACTGTCAGGTCACATGCTGAGGGGTGCTGAGCTTGTGGGTTGGTTTCAGGTTGCCAAAGAGTTGACCTGAAGCAAGAACAGCACCCTAGGTCCCCAGGCTGGGCCCAGGGAGCCTCAGGAGAGGCAGAGAGGGCCAGAGACCCAGGGGAGCGGAACCAGAGGCGGTGATGCTCCTGGCCGGGTGGATGGAGCAAGGGGCCAGGAGCCCAGACTTGCTGGACATTTCCAGACGCCGGCAAACGCAAACCACCTCCAGAGGAACCAGCCTGCAGACACCTAGGGCTCAGCCCGGGAGGCCCAGGTCGGACTTCTGAACCGCAGAAGCGCCTGATAACGTTGGGTTGTTCCAAGTGGCTAAGGTGGTGGGAATTTATTGCAAAAGCAAGAAGCAAATTATCTTTCTGCGCCCTCATTATCTCGGAGCTAATGGGATTATCAAGAGTACAGAGAACAGAGATTAAGCAGATAAGTCCTCCTCCATGACTAGCTCCCACCCAGCACCTGGCTTGACACGTACTGAACCTGCAGGTGCTGACGTTCTGGATCCCAGACTGCAAGCACGGGCAGAACCCCTCGTTGGGCGGGTACACTGACCCGTTGGCGAACAAGGTGTTGGGGGCCACGAAGCGGTAGGTGGGGATGCCCTCGAACATCCCCGACTCCTTGTAGATGAGCTTCATGGACCTGCAGGGCACAGACAGGACAGGGGTGATGCCAACACAGGCCACCTCCGGCCCAGTCCCCTGGCCTCTCCCGGGACCCTCCACAGCCTCCCAGTGGTCTCCATGCCTCCCACTCCTGCCCATCCACTCTCCACCCCAGAGGAGCTGGAAAACCAGAGTGGGATGCACCACGCCCCTGCTAAATCCCAGCATTCGCCTGTCAGTCTGGAGCACCCAGTGCTCAGGCCCGTCTTGCTGCCCAGTCCCCAGCGCTGCGTCTCCAGAGACCCACAAAGTTCCGCCAGGAAGGCAGCCGAGTCGAGGAGCACAGCACTGAATTCCCAAGGAAAGGATTTTCCCAGAGCAGCTTGAGTAGAGCAGAGAAGGCTCTAGAACCCTCTTAGTCTCCCTGCATGGTTCAGCCCACAGCAGGCCCTGAGGAGGAGATGGAGGCCGAGGAGGGGGAGGCTTCCGGGACCACCGCCAGCCACCACATGCCTCCTTTCCCAGCCCCTGCAAACCTGAACCACTTCCTGCTCCCCGCCCCCTCCCCCATGGTCCGCAGTCTCTGCAGGCCCTGCATGGGGTCAGCCGTGGAGTTTGCTCTCTGTGACATAAACCAAATCAAGGTGGGCCAGGGCAAGCCCCGGGGCAGAGCCCAAGTGCACCCACAGGGCACCACAAGAGCCATGAAATCCAGGCCCCTGGGCCCAGGAGCTTCCAAGCCCCATGCCAGAGTGGTTACCTGCAGGCCTCAGGGCTGTAGAATTCCAGCGAGGACTCAGGGGTCATGAACGGCGCCCACATCTGCCCAGCCGTCCCGTTGATCATGTTGCACTGGTCAGAGCGCCAGTAGTTCACCTGTGGGGGCCCCCACACTGCACTTATCCTCACGGCCTGGGACCCCATGGATGGGCCTTGGGCCCAAGGCCCCGGGGAGCAGGGCTGGCGGCAGCACCCTCCCCTCCTGAGAGAGCCCCCAGACACTTCCTAAAACAGAGGGAGTCAGGAGCCAGCACAGGAAGGAGAGGGTGGGTAAGGCTGCCAGGGGGTGTCACAACAGAGACAGCTGGAGGGAGGCAGCTGGGGTGAAAATAACAGGCCGCCCCCTGCACTGCTGCTGGCTCAGGCAGGCCCCCCAGCCCCCTGCGCCCTACCCCACACCCCTGCTGCTGGCTCAGACAGACCCCCCCAGCCCCCTGAAAATCTGCACCCATGCTGCTGGCTCAGGCAGGCCCGCCCCCTGCACCCCTGCAGCCAGCACAGGCAGGCATGTGCCTTCACGCTGGACGCAGCCATAGAGAATCTGGTGGTGTCCATCAAGGACGGCTGGGACCAGCTACCAAGGGTAAGGTGGCCACTCCAGGCAGGAATCAGGGTGCCATTTCCCCTCCACTTCTGGTCTCTGCAGCCACCCCTGTGGGGAGCCTATGGGAGGGGCGAGCCCCACCGAGGCACCACCAGTTTCACATGGTTGAAGAAAGACCATTTAAAGGGACAAAGCGAGTCACTAAACGAGGCGCATAGGGTCACTGCAGGATGTTCAAAGAAGGAAACAACTTGCGTCCCTGTGCAGAGGCAGCTGGACAGAAACAGACAGCAAGACGGGGCCAGCGCCAGTGGCGGCCTCAGGTGGGGGCCGGGCACCATGGCCCAGAGAACCCCACTGCCTCTGTGCATCACTGTTGGACGTGACTGTCTCCTGCACCAGTGTCATTTTAACTCCATGACACTCTGGGGCAGTGAACGGTTCTAGCCTCAGCATGCCCTGAAACATTTTTGTCAATTAAGCAACCAAGTGTAACAGGGTGGTCCCCAGAAAAGGGGAGGCTCCAGGTCCCCTGCCCCACCCGGAAGCAGGGTGGAGCTGAGCAGAGAAGAATCTGGAGAGGTGACTGAGGAGGAAGGAGGGTGGAGAGCCAGGAGGCCTGAGGGAGGCACAGGGAGCAGAGAGAAAGGTGAAGAAACTGTCTTGCTTCTTGGCCCTGGACTCGTTGGAGCAGATGTGGGTGAGAGACCCATGGGGAGGTGACTATGGCAATGTTTGATTTTGATTTTGATCTTTTCTTCCCAGACTTATCTGGCCATTTTTGATCCTTTTCTATGGGTCCCAGCTGGCCAGAAGGTGCTTTAGGCTTGTGGTGGTATAACAGGGTGGTCCCTAAGAAAAGGGGAGTTTCCAGGTTCCCTGCCCCACACAGAAGGAGGGTGGAGCTGAGCAGAGAAAAGGAGAGAAGAAAAGGAATCTAAAGAAGAAGGAAGCAGGATGGAGAGCCAGAAGGAGACCTGAGGAAGCCACACGGAGCAGCGAGCATGTGATGGAGATATCGTGCTTGTTGCCTGGCCCTGACTGACTGAGACGGATGTGGGTGAGAGACCCGTGGGGAGGTGACTATGGCAGTGTTTCTGTTGACTTTGATTTTTGCTCTTTCCTCCCAGACTTGTCTGGCCATTTCTGACCCTTTTCCATGGGTCCCGGCCAGGTGCTTTAGACTGGTGGGGGGCTTTCAGGCCTTGCTTTGGGCCAGTCCCTTTTGGGTGGACTTTTGCCCATGAGGGGACAGGTGACTTTGGGTGTTTGTTTTAGAAATTATATTCTTTGTCTTCTGTACTGTATACTCACTGTATTAAAGTTCCTTTTCTTTAAAGTCTTGTATGTTTTGTCTTGATGCAGTGGATGGCAGAACCCACTTAGAGCAGGCAGGTTTGGGGGTTCAGGGGTGCCCCCTCTCTCTGCCCTTTAACAGTGGGATTTCAGGCCTCGCTTTGAGCCAATCCCTTCTGGTGGACTTTTACCCATGAGGGGACGGGTAACTTTGGGTGTTTGACTTAGAAACTATATTCTTTGTCTTTTCTGTATTGCACACTCATTGGATTAAAGTTCCTTTCCATTAAAGGTCTTATGTATTGTCTTGATGCGTCGGATGGCAGAACTTATTCAGAGCAGGCAGGTTTGGGAGTTCAGGGGTGCCTCTCTCCCTGCCTTGTGACACAAGGAGGAAGAGGCCGCAGCAATTCATGTGTGCTGGAAGCCAGGAAATGGGGGTCTGCTCCCACCCTTCCCCACTCATCCAGAACAAGAGCCGACAGAGCCTCAACCACCGCCAGGCCCCAGCCGCGGCATCTTCCCTCACATGGCGGCGACCACCTCAGCATCAGGGCAGGGAGGGGGCCCCAGCCTTGCATCCAGCCCCCGCACTCACCTTGCTGAGCCCATTCCACTTGTCCACCTGGTGGATCCTGCTCAAGTCTTTGACCCCCGTGAACACGGTGAAGAGTCCAGAATCAGAGTTATTGAGCTGCGGCCAGAGCAGAGCACACCTGTGAGCGTCAGGGGGCAGCGGCCAGGCCCTAGACCCCTCAAGCTCACCCATTGGCCCCTGCTCCGCCGGGAGCACAGAGGGAGCATGGGGGCCCCAATGTCTGGAACCAAGAGGAGGGCTGGGCTCTGTAGGAGGGTGTCACTCCATGACAGCATCCCCCCGAGATAAAGTCCTGCCTATCTCTCCCAGGTTAGGAGTAGTCTGCTCCAGATGAATGGTGGGGTCGACGGAGCCTCAACCACAACACACAACCCCATCACCCCTTTAAGGCAAGTGGCCTTTCACATCCATGAAGGGAAAAAGAAGGGGCAGGTCTCTTTGGACAGACACTATAAAGGGCAAGCGGCCCACGTGTGCCCCCGAGTGACCAGGTCAGCAGGTCACTCCGGTCACCCACACTGAACCAGGAGCACCAGCAAGAAGGCCAGCCCTGCTGGGGGCCAGGTAGCACCGGGCTGCTCCCAGGGCTGCAGCCAGCTGCATGTCCTCATAGGACCCTTGGCTTGGACCCCGAGGAAGTTGCCTGAAGCAGGTTTCTGATTCAGAGCACAGCCCTGCAAGGTGTGGGAAGGAAGAGTGGCTTCAGGAAAAATCTAGGGGTGCTTCTGTGCCCCACGTGGTGCAAGGCGGGCCAGATGATGCAAGCCCAAGGCAGACGGCAGAGGCAGGTGGTGGGGAGCGGAACCCCATTCCCAGGCGGTGCATGGCATGCCCTCTACCTTCAAGGCACACCCCCCCATGTAAGCCCCTGAGGGCAGAGGACCCCAAAGAATCCCCAGGAGCTGCGGGGGGAACCCCTGAGTGCCCTGCCTGGGACATAGCAAGAACTCCATGCCAACCTTTGCATTCTTGTCACTGGCTTTATTGATAAATGACACATAATCACTCTGCTAAACAGTGTGTGAGAGGCTGTTAGTTCCTGCAAAGTCCCTTCTCCCGCTTCTCCACACACACACACAAAACCCCCAGACACACCAGTTGAAAGGCCACGTTTCCCAGCTGCCTGACCTTGCAGTCAGGCATGGCCTCACGACTAAGTTCTGGCCAACGGGAAGTGGAAATGGGTCTGCGCCCCCCCAAAGAGGGACACAAATAGGACCAGCTGTTTTAACCTCACCCCGCTGCCTGCCCCACCACCTCCTAACACACTTTCCTTCCTGCTGTGTGGCTAGAACAGGGACGTGATAGCTGGCGCTCTGGCAGTCCTCTTGGACCATGTGGTAATCTTGAGTCAGAAAACCACATCCTAAGGGTGGCAGGGCAGAGCAGGAGGAAGCGTGAAGCCAGCAGTCTCTGATGGTCTGTTCATGTGGGATGTGCGCCACACAAGAGCAAACAGATTACAGAGGGACTCTGTAATAACTTTGACATGCCTATAAAGTTAACAAAATGCTTTTACCTGCCCCAAACTTACCAGTCAACTCACATACCCAGAACTATTATCCCGATCAAGGTGTAGCAATTACTAGGTACAGGAATCATGACCCTTGTCCTCTCCGCACCCCTCCCCCACCAGGTCAGCTGAGCCTCCAAAGAGGAGGCTGAGGCTTTATCAATCCAGAGGACTCCTTAAAACCTGTGGTTGTGGTTGATAGGACCAAGGTCAGGGATCAGAAGTCAGGGATCGGACTCTATACCAGGTGATGGCTCAATCACCGATCCTACTGATTACTAGAGTCAAGATTAAGAAAATGCTGGTAGTTCAGAGAAATGCTACAGCTGACGTCTGCAATCGGCCTCCACAGCAACCACTCCCCCTTCTGCCAGGAACAACCTTCAATTATCTAAGGCCAGTCCCACTTGAATCTGGATCAAGCTTCATCTGAATCCGCTCCTAGAGTTTTCAGTTCAATGGTGCAATAAATCATCTGTCCTGCCACGCCAGTCTAAGTGAGGTTTTCTGCCACTTACAACTGTTCTCCTGGGCCCATACCCACTCCAAAAGCAAGCTGGTAACTAGTTTCCCGCTGTGTCAATGGAGGGCAAAGCACAAACTCCAAATGCCTCATGGGCCACACTTACCTCTGCAAATAACCCGAACTTGCCCTTGAAGGGGATAACGTTTGGGAAGTATTGATTCAGAAAATTCAAGAATTTGTTGTCGTAGCCCCACATGATCTCACCAACGGTGCGATTCATGAACGCGTGCTCCCCGAAGGAGGTTAACATGAGGGCCATCATCACCTTCAGAGACATGGGCTTATTCTCCATCATCGCTGCTGCGCCCTGCAGAACAAGGGGGCACCATGGTTCAAGCCTGGCCTCCAGGCCAAAGTCCAGCTAGAGAAATGTCCAGGCCTAGGAGGACTCCCTGTAGTGGAGATGTCAGGCATCTGAAGCATCCAGAACCATGACCTGATCCTTTGGTAACAAGCCATGTGTGCCCTTGAAGAGCCCCAGCAGATTCAGGCCGGTAACTCCAAACCCAGCCACTGGCATGGGCAATGGCCCAGGCCTGACTACTGCGAAACCTCTTCTCTCCAGCTACAGAGGTTGGTCTGGGAATGTGTGCATGGGCCCATCAGCATCAGCTAGCCAGAAGAGACACCCCGGGACCGTGGAGTAGAGCGGTGAGCTCCTCATTGCTGGCCTTGAACCTGGGAGGGTGCAAGACTGAAGTCACCCTGAGGGAAGCCGGGGGAACCATGGACTCTGCCAGAGCATGGACCCCTTACAGATCCAGGAAAACCTGTGTGCACCCTGGATCAAGCCTTATCTGAAGCCAGTGCGACAGCCACCCTCCCAGTAACATGACCCATAAATTCCATTTTGCTTCTCCCATTTGGAGCACTTTTGCTGTTACATTGTAACCAAAAGAACCTTAGTGAAGACTCTACTCCAGTCCCTCCCAAACACCAAGGACCTCCAATATCTGTTCTACCCAGTATCTGGATATTTAGAATATAAGTGCATTTGTTTTCTAATTTTTGCTTCCCTCTCGGGATATTGTCTTGGCACTTGGTTTGGCCCTTTAAAGGCGCCTCATCCAATCGCCAGTTTCCTGCACAAGAGTGAACACCACTAGCAATTTCTAAAGCATGTGCTACACCGTCTTGCCCCATGGGAATGCACCAGGGTCTCCTCAACATAATAATTTGGTAAAGATAATAAAAACATTGAAAAGAATCACAGAGAATATAAAAGTCCTTCTCCAATCCCGACTCTCCTAGTCCCATTTCTTCCCCCAAGGCATCCCCTATGTTAGGTTCTTGAGGCTCCTCTTCTGGAGCTAATCTACACCAGAGCTCAGCCACGATGGCCCAGGGGCCCATGCCAGCCCACCACCTGTTTTTAGACAGACCATGAAAATTCTATGAAACACACGTTAGTGTGCGACACAGCCATGCCCACTTATGTATGTTACTGTCTTGGCTAATTTTGTGCTACAGCAGCTGCAACAGAAACCAATCTGTCCCTCAAAGCCTAAACTATTTATAAGTGGCTCTTTATGGAAAGAAGTTGCCTGTTGTGGTCTGGACATGTAAAACGTACATGTATGTACATGGATGTGTGCAAGTCTTTCTCTGATAGAAAGGGCTGTGTGTTCTGCCCCTGGATTTTCTCCTACTGAACTACTCCTTAGGAACTGCTCTCCCCCGGGCCCTGCTGTCCTGTCTTTTTGCTGGCTGTCTACTATTCCACTGCCTGCCCATGCTCTGTTATCATAGTGGTAACTGCATATGATGCACATATAGGTTCTGGATGTTTGCTCTGATACTGTGGCTAAAATGAACTTCCTGGGTGCAAACCTCCTTGACCAAATGTAATCGCTTGTAATGACCTTTTTTGGTCAATGACAGATTCTAGGGACAACAGCAGTCCAACAGGCTCTACCATCTAGCCCAGGTTTCCGGCAGGCTCAACCATGCAGGTCTGTGTAATTACACCCTGACATTTGCCCAATGATGAAATTGCCGACCAATGGCAATTTTTCAAACTCTATCCCTGTCACTACATGATGCCTGACCTCATTCCATCCTGCTGTGTATCATTCTCCTCAGGGGCAGCTCCTACAAGTGGAATTTCTTTATTTTTTTCCTTTTTCAAAGATTTATTTACTTATGCATACAAGAACTGGCATACAGGCCAGTGGTGCAGGGGGTGAGACAGAGACAAAGTGGGGAGCAGAACAGGCAGATATACTGAAATACACTGCTGAGGGGAGCAACAGGCAGGTCAGGAGAGGTCTGCCGCGCCATGAGGGTCACCTCCCTGGCAGGGAAACGAACTCATGCTGCAGTAGCTGTGGGTAGCTTCATAGTGCTGTGCCACCAGGGAGGGCCCTACAAGTTGAATTTCTCAGGCCAGAGTCATGTGCATGTTCTGTTGAAAGACACTGCCTTCCATCAGCTCACACCAGCTCCATTCCTAATGGAAGTATACGAGACTGTATTTCCTCAAATGTTCCCACTGAGCCCTGGGCATCACCCCGGGGTGTGCCATCATGACGGGAGCACTTGTGGTCACACTAGCTGACTCTGAGTGAGGCGGTTGCAACATTCTGGGCTACATTTATTCCCACGTCTCCCGTCTTGTCACCCAGTGATTTCACCAGGGGGGTGCACCTCTGACCTGGTGCCCAGCACAGGATCAGGGCCAGCGCAAACGCCTGGCAACTATCAAGCGGGCACACAGAGGATGGAGTGGAGCTGAGTGGGGCAGAGGAGGGCTCCTGGCCTGAGCACTATCAGCTCAAAACCATCCTCTGCTACTTCCAAACTGGGTGGGCTTGGATCAGTCACTTCACCTCTCTATTGTCAGTTTTCCTCTAGAAATAGAGAAAACAGTAGTGAAGACAGAACTATTGACAAGTAATCAAGGTCAAGCATGGAAAAGCCCTTACCACCCACGTTCTGACAAGTGTGGGCAGGAGGAGGCTGAGCGTGGCAGACTGCCCCCCAGGGAGGCTGGCACAGCTGGTCCCTGGGTTTCAAGAAGATGCCCACGACTCCCAAGTGAAAGCTTGGATTGCGCTGACCAGCTGCTCCACTGGGGGAGCTGGGCAGGGCTAGGCAGCAGTGCCGGCAGGGCCAGCCCAGGCGACACCCAGGCGCTGAGGACTTGACAGTAGCCCTGGCTGAGGCCATCACAGTTCCTTGCAGGGAGCCCCTGGGACAGGATTCTGGAGTTCAAGCTGTCTGCGCCCACAGGGGTGCACACAGATTCCTGGACCCTCCTAGCAAAGACCGTGGGTGTTCTTGGAGACCCAGCACACGTGGCAAGCAGTCAGCAAATGCAGGGGTCTCTATGTCTCTCACCAACAGACCAGCAGAGAACAGCATGGCCTGGGGGTGCCCCCGTCAGCCTCCCCAGCAAGCAACCCCTCTTAGAGATTTCCAGTTTGTTGACTATAAAGGGCAAAACAGTGACTTTGGCCAGCACCCCAAAACCCACAGGTAGACACCTGGGGACCCTGGGCCTGGGTGGGAGCAGGGCGGCCTCACCATGACCAGGATGTTGGGCATTACGATGTAGTCGCTCTCAGAGCCGCAGGACTTGTCGTGCTGAAACTGGAAGCGACGATACTCGCGGTAGGACACGGTGTCATTGTCGTTGAACGTGATGTTGATCTTGTGCCGGAACTCCCTGTGGGGCCGTGGTCAGCGGGGCTGTGGTCAGTGGGGCGCAATAGTGCAGGGGGCAGCAGTGGCAGACATGGGGTGGTGGGGTAAGAGGCAGGGGGCAGGGAGGCGGGAGGCAGCGGGATGAGAGGCGGGGGGCAGGGAGGTACGGGGGCCAGCGTGTGGTGTGGGGAGGCGTGCTGGGGGGCAATGGGGAGATGTGGGGCAGCAGAGGGCCCTGAGAGCCACAGGGGCTTCTCTGGCAGGGCCAGGGTGTCTGTGTGCCCCGGACAGCATGACAGCCAGGTTGGGTGACCCCCAGGTCTGTCCTCCCACTGTCGGCCTGGTCAGTCATCACAGTCTCCGAAATCACAATGTCCGCCCACCCAGCCAAGCCACCTCTCAGAGAGGCCCACCACTCATCTCTGAAGCAAGGGCCTCCTAAGTCCTCCTGGGTACCCACCTCAGACCATCATGTGCTTTTACTTATTCACCTCCATCAGCCTCCCCTGCAAGCACGCAGGGATTCTTTTGTCCATTTCACCATTGTAGGTCTCCGGTGCCGAGAACAGCGACCCCCACCCAGAGTCCTGCTGCCTCTCGTGCCTGCTCCCCAGCTCAATCTGCCCAGCTCCCTGCTGCTGCTTGAGCACCGCACCAGCCAGCCTCAGGGCCTTTGCACTGGCGACCCCCTGCCAGGCACTCCTTTCTCGGGGCTCACTCCCTTATATAAGAGACCGGAGGGCTGCTGTAACCACCTACAGGTGTAACAGGTACAGGTCTCAAGGACTCCGCCCCCCCTCCAGATACTGGAACTACTAATCCCATCAATGCCAAGGAGAAGCAGGCTGGGACGTGAGGGTGGAGCTGAGCAGCCAGGTTGGGGTAAAACCGGACATGTGGGCTCTGGGGGTGTCTTGGCCTGGTGGTTCGCGGCTGGTCATTTTAGCTCTCGATGGGTTTTCAACGTGCTGGTGGAATCCAAGTCAGCAGAACTGGTAGGACATTTTAGCTTAACTTGTATTTCTCTCCTCTTTCCCTGGGTTATTCCCTTACCTTTCTGCTTATAAATAAATCCATCAGTTAACCTTTTTGAGTGTGTCCATAATACAATTGAATCATAAGCGTGCGGGTGAAGACCCACAGACGGGCAACCCGATTCACATTGGGGTCCCTGTAACACAGGGACACATGAATGCACACCCACCCCCGTCCCCTGTGGCCTTTTCTCTGTAGCACTTAACACCCACAGTCATGTACTTCCTTATTGATTTTCTACAACTCAGACACAGCAGAATGTGATTCTGTGAGGCTGGATCATGGTCTGTCTTGTTCTCAGCAGTCTCCCTGGAGCCTAGGCCATGGCTAGTAGGCACTGGTGAATGAATGACGAGGGCAGAGCTCTTCGACCTTGCTCGGGTTTGGGGAGCAAGTCCCTGCTCCCTGAGACCAGCCCCATGTGTGTGCAAGTGCGAGTGCCCCCACCATATGCCCCCACACCCGGCCCACTGCTGCCTGGGTGCCCCATAAAGAACCTCCCCGGCACCATCACTTCCCCCTCCTGCACATGGCCTGCTTCTGGATCAACCTGTAGGGCTCAGCGTGGCAGCCCAGCCCACCTGAGCCCCGTCGCTGGCAGGGCCGCCCGCCCCATGCTCACCTGTACACATAGGGCCCGCGCTCCTGCACCCACGGCTTCTCACCCTGGAGGACGGCCTTGGGGTTGAGGATGCTGAAGAAGTAGACGGAGAGGTAGAAGGGCACGGGGATCTCCTTCCACATGTTGAAGGACAGGCTGCTGGGGTCAATGCGCACATTCTGTAGGGAAGAGACCCGCGGTGAGGAGGGTGCCCGGACCCCACAGCGCGACCCCTCCACGCGACCCCAGGATGGCTGCGCCAGCTGCCCGATGCCCAGCCCCCACGGCACTGCAGGGAGTGGGCTCCAGGGTGGGGGCTCCAGGGAAAGGAGGGGCGAGACGCTCCCCACACACCACTCTATAGAGTTCTAAAGAAAGCTAACAGGTAATAGGACGGGTTTCCACTACAACGGCCCGATGGGAGCCCAGCAAAAGAGAGGCCCACGCCGCACCTGGAAGAGGCGGCTACTGCCGGACTGTGCTGTTCAGTGCCATGCGGCGCACGGACTCACTCACGCATTCACTCAATACTTACTGAGAGCCTACTGCATGCCCTGCGTCGAGGCCCTGAACCCCTCCAACCCCCCACCCCACTTCAATGAACACTTATCTACAGGGACCTTGGGCAACCAGTTCTGTGTTTGGGCTGGTGAAGGTGGAAGAGTCATGGTGTAACTGGGTGGACCCCAGGAAAAGGGGAAGTTCCGGGGTCCCTGCCCCACTCAGAAGGAGGGTGGAGCTGAGCAGAGAAAAAGGAGAGAAGAGAAGGAATCAGAGGGAAGAAGGAGGGAGGATGGAGAGCCAGAAGGAGACCTGAGGAAGCCACATGGAGCAGCGAGCATGTGATGAAGAAACCGGGCTTGTTTCCTGGTCCTGGACTGGTTAAGGCAGATGTGGGTGAGATACCTGTAGGGAGGTGACTATGGCCGTGTTTATATTGATTTTGATTTTGCTCTTTTCCTCCCAGACTTGTCTGGCCATTTCTGACCCTTCTCCATGGGTCCCGGCCAGAAGGTGCTTTAGCCTTGTGGCAGCTTTCAGGCCTTGCCTTGGGCCAATCCCTTTTGGGTGGACTTTTGCCTACGAGGGGACGGGTAACTTCAGGTGTTTGATTTATAAGTTATATTCTTTGTGTTCCGTATTGTATATTTCCAGTATTAAAGTCCCTTTTTCATTAAAGTTTTATATGTTTTGTCTTGATGCGGCGGATGGCAGAACCCACTTAGAGCAGGCAGGTTTGAGGCTTCAGGGGTGTCCCTCTCCCCCTGTCCTGTAACAATGGATTCTCTCTGAGCCTCAGTTTCATCATCCACACAACAGATGTCAGGCCAGCATCCTCCTCTTAGGGCTGACGGGAGGGTAAGGCGCTCAGAGCATAAGTGCTTAGGCAGGGTCTAGCAGAGCCAGCACCAAAATGCCAGCTGTGCTGTGCAGCTGCCTGGCAAAAAATGACCCCCTGCCCTGTCCACAGGCACGGACTTTGCCCTGCTTTTGACTGGAGAGATTTCTGGCTGTCAGACCAGATCAGAGGCAGTTGATTAGATAACAGCTTGCTCTGGCCTTAGCCTAAGGTAGCTGATTCTACCCCCACTCTCCCCTGAGGTCAACGATCCTGCCCAGGAAGAAAAGATTGAGAGAGAAGACCAACCAAGGCAATAGCTTGTGGGATGCAACGAGGCCCTCCTGGAGGCGGCCTAGAAGAGGGGGTGTGCAAGCTGGGCACTGAAAAAGTGAGTTGAGCTTTTCCAGGAAAAGAGGCTGAAGAGGGTGTTCCTGGTAGTATAACAGGGTGGTCCCTAGGAAAAGGGAAAGTTCCAGGTCCCTGCCCTACCCAGAAGGAGGGTGGAGCTGAGGAGTGAAAAAAAGAGGAGAGAAGAAAAAAGAAGGAAGCAGGATGGAGAACAAGAAGGACCTGAGGAAGCCACATGGAGCAGCGAGCACGTGATGAAGAAACCGGGCTTGTTTCCTGGCCCTGGACTGGTTAAGGCAGATGTGGGTGAGAGATCTGTAGGGAGGTGACTATGGCCGTGTTTATACTGATTTTGATTTTGCTCTTTTCCTCCCAGACTTGTCTGGCCATTTCTGACCCTTTTCCATGGTCCCAGCCAGAAGGTGCTTTAGCTTTGTGGCAACTTTCAGGCCTTGCCTTGGGCCAATCCCTTTTAGGTTGACTTTTGCCCACGAGGAGATGAGTAACTTCAGGTGTTTGATTTAGACATTACATTCTTTGTGTTCCGTGTTGTATACTCACTGCATTAAAGTCCCTTTTCATTAAAGTTTTATATGTTTTGTCTTGACGCGGCGGATGGCAGAACCCACTTAAAGCAGGCAGGTTTGGGTCTTCAGGGGTGCCCCCTCCCCCTGTCCCCTTCTGAGGTTTGGGTCTTCAGGGGTGCCCCTCTCTCCCTGTCCTGTAACAATAGGACAGCGGGAACACAGCCCAGGCAAAGGAAGCCTTCTGAGCACGACCTAACTAACCCTCTACCAATAATGAGTAAGTTTTTAAAACACACTGAAAGCCTATCAACAGACAAGCTACCACATATCCAAACAGCAGGGAGGAACCACACAGGTATTATGTTAAATGTTAAAAACCAGAGAGAGAAATTACATGTGAGTTCATGTAACTGGAGTTCTGGAGAGGAACGACAAGCCAGATCCAGAGTGGCCAGGGGCTGGGGCAGAGGGAAAGACCAGCAACAGGACATGAGCGACTACTGGGATGATGGACAGAGCCCAGATCTTGATTTTGGTTGCCTCACAGGTGGGGTATAAATGTATGATAAAGCCCATTACACTGTAAGTTGAAAAGAATGATCTAGAGGAATCTTGAAAACATTATGCTGACATTTTTGACAGTTTTGAGAGATGATGTATATACCGTAAATTCAAGCAGTTTCTAGTACATTCAGAGTTGTGCAACCACCCCCACTGTCTAGTTCCAGAATGAACAAAACAAAACCGTCTACCCAATCATTTCCCCACCCAACCTCTGGCAACCACTAATCTACCACCTGTCTCTATGGATTTCCTGGTCCTTTCAGATCAACAAATGTTCCTTAAAAACAAGCAGAGGTAGAAAAGATCAAGGACTTTTATTCACTTAACATAAGGCTTTCCACGGTCCATTAATGTTTCCTCCTTTTCCCGTGTAGTTTGTAAAGAAGGAAGATATCACTTGTTTTAAAAAAGGATGTATGTGATCCATGAGCTTTGCAGGGGCTTAGCAGCCAAAAGGTGAAAGCAACCCAACTGTCCATCTATGAGTGAATGAATGAATAAAATGTAACCTATCCATGTGAAGGAATATTACTCAGCCTTTAAAAAGGGAGAAACTTCTGAGAACTGCTACTGCATGGAGGAATTATGGTGAGTAGAATAAGACAGACGCAAAGGATGATACTATATGAATCCAGTTACATGCCATAGTACATTTCACAGAGCGAAAGCAGATTGATCAGGGCCAGGGGCTGGGAAGTTAATATTCAGTGGAGAGAGAACATGAGCTTTACAAGATGAAGAGATCTGGAAATGATGGTGGTGATGTTTGCACATCAGTGCGAATGTACTTCACACCCAGAACTGCACATTTTTAAATGGCTAAGATGGTCAATTTTCTGGGATGGGTACTTTACTACAAATTTATATAGAGAAAAAAAATAAGTAAATTAGATACCAATAAAATAATCTGAAAGGCCATAAATGTTAGCACATCAGAGTCACCATATGTAAATATGAGAGGAGGTCAACTTGCCCTCAGAAAGTACCAGTAGAACTCTCTCCTTTACAGTATGTTCTGTTTTCTGGGTCTGGCTAATTTTTTAAGGATTTATTTTCTTTTCTTTTCTTTTCTTTTTTTTATGCATACAAGAACTAGGGTACAGGCCAGAGGTATGAGGAATGAAAGGATTCACCAGAGTGGGGAGCAGAACAGGCAGATCCACTAAAATACACTGCTGAAGAGAGCAGCTGAGGAGACCGGAGGGGTCTGCTCCGCCATGTGGGTCAGCTCCTGGCTGGAGATTGAACTCAGGCTATCACAGTGATATCACTGAGACTCAACCCCTATGCCACCAGGGAGACCCTGGGTCTGGCTAATTTTGTTCAGCTGAATGTTTCCAAAGTGTGTCCCATTTTTGCTGATTTATTTACCTTTGGGTAAATATACCTGGTCCATTCACTCCTTCACCTGCTGATGGATACATGATGCTTCCAATTTGGGGTTATTTTGAATAAAGTTATAAACTTACCAAACACACACTTACAATGTGTTCCTGCCATTGAAATAAACATCAGTGGAGATGATTTTTAAAAATCAATAAAACAGAGATGATTTTTAAAAATCAATGAAACACATGGGACCTGCTATATTTACTACAGCGGGGCAGCCTGCAGAAGGCTTTGAAGGGTAGGGTTTCATAGACCTATTTCAGGACGGGCAAAGGGTAGGTATTATTAGCACAGCCAAAGTGTAATGGAATCACACTGGGCACAGGAGGCAGACCTGAGCACCAGGGGTATGCCTGCGTGAGGGTCTAGAGCAGGCACAACCACTGCCCAGGACAGAGGTGGGGTCCCCCTCTAGTGAGCACTGCAAATATCCTCCTTCCAGATGTGTGGGGCTGAGCTCGCCCCCTCGCTGAGTGCGCATTTCACAGTAAGCTACGTCCCGCCAACGAGATCCTGAGACCATACTCAATTTTTTTAAATCGAAGGAACACTGTTTGTGACATTATATGTGATTTAGGGGTACAGGTTCACACCCTCAGCTGGGCATCACCACCCCACACCCACCACCAAAGCCCCTATAATCCACCCACACAGCCCCTGGAGCCCCCACCCAGCTTTGCTCCCACCCCCACCACACCCCAAGAATCTCAGATTCCAAGGGGCTTTGGGACTTGGTTCTGCCAGCGCCTTTGCTTTGTTTCTTTATATTCCACCTGAGCGAAATCAGCCAGTGTTTGTCTTTCTCCTTCTGACTTATTTCCCATAGTATAGCATCGGCCCTCAGGGCCAGTCCATGGTGTTGCCATGGCAACATCCCATAAGCTTTCACAGAGAAACAATGGAAACAGCCCATCCGGTGTGGGCACTTGGCTTGTCTTCATAACGCGGTTATGGCAGAGTACAGCAGTGAACACAGGGTGCCGGTGTCCTTCAGACCCGTGCTTTTCTA